AGTTCACAATAAGTCTTTCTCTGTGGTCTTATCTTAAGCACCAGAGGTAGTCGGTTCTTTTCTAACCTTGCAAACACATGTGCACTATATGTAGATGCTAAAATCATGTTATAATTTTAAACCTACCAGTAAGTTGGAAAAACAGCATAAACTCCTATATATCTTTCACCCAGTTTGTCCAATTGTTATAATTTCACTACATTTTTGCAATGTGGAATCCACTCATTGATCAGATCCGTGCTGCCCAGGCAAGAGACACTATTGAAAGATGTCATGGATTCAAATGGTTAACTGAAAAAAAAAATTGGATGACCAAGGCTCAGATTCCAACACACCAGACACTTGGGATAGTCAGTTTGGGGTATAAATGTGGCGATTCTACAGAATACCTCCTATCAAAGTGTAATGTTTAATTATAAGATAGATAAGGAGGAAAAGCTTAGACTGGCTATTAAGAGATCCAAACTACCTAACCAATCCTTCTCACTCTACCTTTGTTTCTCCCTGCTTATATCTAAGATCTTGGGCTACTGGAATTTAATAGTACCAAAAAGAAGCCAGGGCTAGATGAGTCTAATGTGCTTCATTTACCATATGGCTGTGGTTGCTGGGTTTTGGGTGGTTATGTACATTGATGATAATGATCATGGATATGAGGTGGTGACCCTTGTATTGGTCCTGGCATGGGCCACACATCAGACATGTGATGAGAATATAACTATAAAAGGGTGAAGTGACTGCTGAGACTGGACACACCTATTATGTGGCTGTGGAAGGAGGGGAGTAGTCCTAGCCAGTGGGGGAAAGCACACTTTAAACCCCAGATCAGAATTTGGGGAAGGGACCACTAGTCTCTTGCTGCAGGACACTTGGACAGTTTAACCCACACTTTCAGCTTGATGGCTGGTGAACAAAGATTCTTAATTTAAGGATTGTTGGAAACATTGCAGCAGCTGCTAACTCAAGGAGTTAACTCCACTGCAGATTAACTTCCTAGAAAATAAAAATAAAAACCTCTTTTGTACAAAAACTTAATAGAATTAGACCTTGACCCCAACTCAGCTACAACTTCCTTTGTGAATGTCAGGCTTATACTACCTTGCCACACAAAAACTGGCCTATAGTCTCTAATGTTAATGGTAATGAGGAATAACACATTGCCATAAACTTCCTGCTGGTCATTTGAGGTAGGGTGTTCTTTAGGTAACCAGGCATAAGCATGTCTAGAAATTCAGTGTACCAAAGCTCCTAGGAAAGAGAAAGGGAGATAAAGATCTCTGTATTACCTTAGTCCCACCAGTCTAAGGTGCTCTTGTCCAGCCATCATTTTTTCCTTGAGAACACCATTGATAACTCATCACTACATCAGCATAAGCACAAGGGTATATATGTCCATCACATAGAGCATAATGCAGATTAGCTTCAAGGATCTCAATTGTACAATTAGACCCAGCTGATTAGACTAAAGTATCAACATTGTAACCTGAAAAAGCCTTAACCATAGTGAGGCACCACCATAGGTCAAGGGGTCAAACCCTATTTCTCCTAAAACAAATTGGCCAACTTTTTGGTAAATATTATAGCTTTTTTAAAAAAGATCCAGCTACACATTTTCACAACAAATACAATTGCCCCAAACTTCACTCACAGTATTAATTTTAAAACAATCTTTATTGCACATTTTGTCCAAATTCTAAAAGAAACTTGTTTTTTTTTTTTTAAGTGCTGGTGATGCAACCCAGAGCCTTGAGCCTGTCAGGCAAGCATTCTACCACTGAGCTACACCTCTAGTCTGTTTTCTAAAATACAAAATCAGACACTACAACAGCAAGTGCCAGCAAACTAAGAGTCCATTTTATCTTCTTAGGAACAAAGGGAGTAAAGCGCAGAGTAGAAGAGGCAAGTTAGTTCTGCAGGGAAGTTTCTTTTTTGGTCTTTTAAAAAAGTAGCTCTATTGATATGTATTTTTCATCCAACACAATTTGCCCACATAAAGTGAAGTATTTAATTTTAATGTTTTCTTTTTAGGATACTCAGAGAATCGTGCAACTATGTATGATATTACATACTCAACTTTAAAAGAAACCTGTACCTTTTAACCATCATCCCTCTATACCCCCTCCTTATACCTCTTGGCAAATGCTGATCCATTGTCTATCTCTATGGATTTGCTCATCTGGACATTTCATATAAATGGAATAATACACCATATGGACTTTTTTGTCTGGCTATTTCCAGTAAGGATAATGTTTTCAAGACAGGCACCTGCCACCACACACAGCTCTTGGTTGAGATCGAATCTAGTGAATTTCTGGCCCAGGCTGGCCCCAAACTATGACCTCTTGAAGACATTACAGTTTGATATTAAATATACAGTATAAGGAAAGAATATTGAAAGCTACAAGAGAAGAGGACCAAGTCATCAATAAAGGCAAACCCATCAGAATAACTACAGATATCAACAGAAATTCTAAAACAAGGATATATTTTAAGCACTGAAAGAAAGTAATTGTCAACTAAGTTTACTGTGTCAAGCAAAGGTCCCCTTCATAATTGAAGGAGAAATAAAAAACTTCCATAATAAACCAAAATTAAAGGAATTCATAACCAGTAAGCCAACACTGCAGAAGATACTTAAAAGAATCCTACACAGAAGAGGAAGATAAATGCAATCAGGAAAATATGGGAAAGAATAAACCTCACTAATTAGTCAATAAGAAAATGAAAGAACCAGGCTGTCAGAGTGGCTCAAGTGGTAGAGTGGCTGCCAAGCAAGCATGAGGCCCTAAGTTCAAAACCCAGTACTACCAAAAAAATTTAAAAAAAGAATTAACCTAGAAAGTAACACCCACGCACAGGAAATCAATGTGAGTCAATGCCCTGTATAGCTATCCTTATCTCAACCAGCAAAACCCCTTGTTCCTTCCTATTATTGCTTATACTCTCTCTACAACAAAATTAGAAATAAGGGCAAAATAGTTTCTGCTGGGTATTGAGGGGGGGAGCGGGAGGGGGTGGAGTGGGTGGTAAGGGAGGGAGTGGGGGCAGGGGGAAGAATGACCCAAGCCTTATGCACATATGAATAATAAAAGAAAAAAAAAAAGAAAACGAAAGAACCAAACATGATAAAAAAAAAATCCCAGCATAATAACAATTACCACATACCTTTCAATAGTAACTCTGAATGTTAATGGTCTCAATTTTCAAAACAGACTGGCAGTTGAATTAAAAAATAAGATCCAACAAATTGTTGCCTACAGGAAATGCACCTCACTGACAAAGACAAAGGCTTAAAGTGAAAAAAATGGAAAAAGGTTTTCCAGGCAAATGGAGTCCAAAAGTGAGGAGTAGCTATAAATGGAGTACAAAAGTCAGGAGTACCTTTGCTCATATCTGACAAAGCGGACTTCAAGACAAAATTAGTCAGAAGAGACAAAGACGGTCACTTCCTATTGATAAAGAGAACAATCCATCAAGAGTAGACAGTAATTGTAAACACATATACACCAAATGTTGGCGCATCCAGTTTCATTAAACAAACATGACTAGACATAAAAGCATGGACAAATCCCAACAAAATAACAGTGGGTGACTTCAATATCCTACCCTCACAAACAGGTCATCCAGAACCCCCCAAAAAAATCAACAAAGAAACCTCCAAAGCAAATGACACTCTAGATCAAATGGACTTAACAGACATCAACCAAATGAGCACATAACATACATTCTTCTCAGTAGCCCATGGAACTTTCTCCAAAATAGATATTTTAGGACATAAAACAAGTCTTGACAGATATAACAAAATAGAATAACCTGTTGTATTTTATCAGACCACAATGGAATAAAACTAGAAATCAATAGCAAAAGAAAATATTCAAAAACATATGGAGACTGAGCAATCACTTTTGGGTTGTTCAAGAAATTAGTGGCTAGAATTAAAAAATTTCTTAGACTCAAACAAAAAGGAAAACACAACTTATCAGAACCTTTGGGACACAGCAAAGGCAGTGCTAAGAGGAAAGTTTATAGCTGTGAGTGCCTACAGTAAGAAATCAGAGAGCTTTCACATAAAAACTTCTAAGAATGAACCAAACCCAAAAGCAACAGATGGAAAAAAATAATATAGGTCAGGGCAGAAAGTAATAAAATGGATACTAAAAAAATAGAAAGAATCGACGAAACAAAGACTTGGTTCTTTGAAAAGATAGCAAGCTTGACAAAACCATGCAAAACTAATGAAAAGAAGTGGGGAGAAGACCCAAATTAGTAAAATTAGAGATGAAAAGGGGGACATCACAACAAATACTTATGAAATTCAAAGGATCATTAGAGAATACTTCTAAAACTTATATTCTAATAAACTGGAAAATATAGAAGAAATGAATAAATTTCTAGATACACATGACTATCTCAATTGACCTCAGAGGATATTAACCACTTACACAGATCTATAATGAGAAAGGAAATTGAAGCAATAATACAGTCTCCCAGAAAAGAAGAGCCCAGGATTAGAAGTACTCATTGCCAAATTCTAACAAGAAAGAAATTTCTTGAAGAAAGAAATCAAAGGTCAGTAAAACTTTTTAAACATGGGGGGAGTTAAGAAAGAGTAATATGGACAAGGTAAATTTGATCAAAGAAATGTGCAGATTTCTTTCTGGCCTACCAAATTCTATTACACTTTTAGTGGAGAATAGTATTTGACAACCAGCACCTTGGTGGTAGGTGTGCTCATAGAAACTGGGGTGTTACTTGTAGTCCCTCTTAGTGGACAGAGCTAGGAACTGTATGTATGTATACAAAGACATTTTACTATTTCTCTGTAAATACAGATACATACACAGGTGTTTTTTTCAATCCAATACCAGAGGGTTCATTTGATCCTTCCTTCTTTTTCCATGTTTGTAAAAAAATGTCTCTTATCCTGAAAAGCCGAGCTCCCATTTTCTTCTTTAAAACCTACAAGTTTTTATTTTGCAATAATTATAGACTTATAGGAAATTGTGAAATTAGTACATGGTATAATACTGCTAAGCAGACTACAGACTTTATTCAGTTTCACCAGATTTTACATGCTTCATTTGTGTACATATTGATCTATACAATTTTAACACAGGTATCGATTCACATACTCAATACTACAATCAAGAAATAAGACTATTTCATCAGCACAAAGGAACTCTTTGCATCATCCATACATAGTTATACATATGCCACACCCCATCCTGTCCCTGGCAACCATGAATGTGTTCTTAATTCCTACAATTTTCTATTTCAATAATGTTATATAAATGCAATCATACAGTATGTGACCTTTTCAGGTTGACTTTTTTTTCACTTACCATAATAACCCCCAGGTCCACCTAAGTTGTATGTATTAGCAGTCTGTTCTTTTTCATTGCAGAGTAGTATTGCATGGTAGGATAATTTAACCATTTACCCACTGCAGGACATCTGCTTTGTTTCCAGGTTCTTGCTATTAGAAATAAAGCTGCTATGAAAAATTTTGAGCAACCACAGGTTTTCATTTTTCTGGCATACATGTCCTGGAGTGCAACTGCCAGGTTGTTTAACTTCATAAGAAATTTCCAAACTCTTCTCCAGAGTGGATGTACTATTTTACATTCCTTTCACCAATGTATGAAAAATTATTTTGTATCCTCCATAGTATTTGGTATTTTCACTATAGCCATTATGATAAGTACGTAAGTCATATCTCATTATGGTTTTAATTTGCATTCCTTATGACTTATGAAATCTCATGTGATTACTTGCGATATATATCCTCTTCATTGAAATGTCTACTCACACACATCTTTTGCTCATTTCCTAATTGGATTGGTTCTTATTGTTGAGTTTTGAGAACCTTCTGCTTTCCACATTGATCAGATACTATATGGTTTGTAAATAATTTCTCTCAGTCTGTAGCATGTCTTTTCTTGTTCTTCTTTTTTTTTCTAAATAAAAGATTTTAATTTTGATGAAGCCCAATTTACAAACTTTTTTTTCCTTACAAATTGTGTATCCAAGAACTTGTCTCCCGGAGATTTTTCTCCTATGATATTTTAAAAAAAGTTTTATACTTTACATTTTAATCCATGGTACATTTTGAGGTAACTTTCATAGAAGATGTGATGTTTAAGTTGGAGGTTCTTTTTTTTTACTTATGGGTACTTAATTGCTTCAGCATGATTTGTTAAAAAGGCTACCCTTTCTCCATTGAATTGTTTTTATCCAATTAAGTTATTCCATTAGTTGGGTATATTTATATGGGTCTATATCTGGGTTCTCATTTCTGTTCCATTGAACTATGTGTCTAACCCTCTGCAACACCTGATTACTTTAACTTTATGGTAAGTCTTGAAGTTGGGTAATGTGAGCCCTCCAACTTTTTGTTCATCAAAATTGATTCAGCTTAATTAATTTTGTGCTGGGTATTTTCATCTGTCCTATAGGAAAAGAAAAAAAGAGAACTTTGGTGAGGGGAATTTGGGGAAATATAGCATTTACATTTCATATGCCCAAGAAAGAGTAGTGGTTTTCAAATATAAGAATACCTCTGTATCAGTGAGTCTGATGCAAGTAGTTCTGGAATTTTGAAAGCATGAATTTTATTACATCTTAAATCCTAAATGTTTCTGGAAACAAACATTTATATTGTAACAAAAATTCCTAGATATATAAGGTTTGCTCAGTAGGAATTTGCTTCAGAGTCAAATATGCTAGAACTCATTTGTTTGGTTAAAAAGAGCACCCACATAGATTCAATATTTGGTAACTATCTCAGAATACATATTTCAGAGATCAAGAAGGATGACATGAAACATATGCTTCCCAATGAGTTACCTAAACTACCACTAATCCTAGTGCACTTATCATTAATTGTCCAACATAAGCATACAACTACAAAAGAGAAACATTAAATACTCTGCTACCTTTAGCTTATATAGGGGATGGATGTATATGAAAACAAAAACAAACGCTTCCATGTTTTAAAAAGGAAAAACAAACATTTAAAATATACCCCCATCAGACATTTTATTGCCAGATATCCTCTGCCAGTGTACCTCCAATAACCTTAAAAAATAACTTCCATATTCTGTTTTAATCATTTTGTTCTATGTAGGCCAGCTATAGGTAGAAGAGCTGGATAAGCTCTTGTAAAATTTTTAGGAAGATATGTTTATTGCATGCATAAAATTTTTTCACTAGAATATAAAAAGTACTGCTCCATTGTCTGCTGAACTATGAGTTGTGTGTAGTTTTGAACAGTGTTCAGTATATAAATTGAAAAAAAATTACCCCATTTTGTGTTCTGCTTTATTCTAAGGAGGAAAGTTCTTCCATAAGCTCTTCCTTTTCTTGCTGTAACTCTTGTAAATGCTGTTGGTTTTGCTCCAGTCTGTCCTCCAACCACTGTAGGAGAGGTCCACTGACTGCTGACATCTGACTGCACAGATTCTTGGTAAACACTTCAGTAGGAAAAACATGGGTGAGATAACTGTGGAAAAGCAATGCCCACTGGCATGTTCCCACTCCACCACCAACAGTACCTCAGTTGTGAGCACAGAAAAAAGGAGGACTAAGGAGAAAAAAGTGCAATAAATAGGGTTGGTAAATGATTTTCTATGGCCAACTAGGGGAAAGGCAGAAGGGCTGAGAAAAGCAAATACCTATTCTGAGGCCATTTTGAACAACCCAGAAATCACAGAAAGGTTCCTTCCCCCAGCCCTTCAGACCTTCCCACACTGTAAATAACTACTAGAATGCTAAAAATCTGTATGTCAAATGTTCTATATATTGAATAAATAAATAAATACATTAATTCAACTTACCTGAGAGGTCCTCTTTTAAAATGAGAAAAAAAGGGGAATGAAGAGTAGGGGAGTTATCTTTCAGGCTTTACTGTAAATGTTCAGCTTCATGGTGAGACAAAGATTCTATGACATGCTTTTAAAACAAATTCTGCCTAATGGAAATGTTTTTGTCTCTCATAATACATGACTTATTGAGAGGAATACTGTAATACTGTGAAGCATCTTCCCAGATATAGGTAACATGCACTTTGGCTGTTACTTTTTCTCCATGTAACAATATGTCATAGACATCTTTCTGTGTCAACAAAAAAAAATCACTTAGTTTTCCTTCTGAAGGAAGAAAATATTATTAATATAAATAATCATCTTAATGGATGCACCAATTTAATAAGCTGGGACATCTAAGTGGCATCAAAATTTTTCCTATTATATAAAGACTACAATCAAGTGGAATTGCTAGAAAATACTGGATAATAAGTTTTAAAACTTATATCCTCATCATTATTATTTCTCAATGTAACCTTTGCCACAGGGTGAAAAAAACTGTTAACTTTATCTTACTCCTACAACACTTCATTTTTTTGTAGGGACCCATAAAGTGTTTAGTTTTTATTTAGTCAATCTTTTATGAGTTCAGGATTTCAGATTATACTTAGGCCATTACCTGTCTAAACTTTGAAAAATATTCTCCTACACTTTCTTCCTATTTTTTTTAACTTTTAAAATGAGCTTCATTGGGGTATACCTTACAGACAGTAAAATGAACCAATTTAAAATATACAGTGCAATGGATTTTAAAAACTGTATAGCCCATGTAACCACCTCTAGTTAAGATACAGACCATTTTTGTCACCCCAAAGAAATCCTTCCACAGTTCCCTTTGCCTTCACATGCCAGCCCCAAGCTGTTACAGAACCACTTGCTGCAACCCTAAATTAGTTTTGCCTCTTCTTGAATTTGGAACTATACACTATGCAGCTTTTCATGAGATGCATCTTTCACCTGGCATATGCTGTTGGGATTTATCCAGGTTGTTCATGTATCAGTAGTCTGTCTGGGATGAGAGCTCTGAGCACAGGAGCTGGGTAGGATATGATATCCCCTCGCCTCCACATTCCATGGAGTGTGAAAACAGAGACCTGCAGGCAGAGCACCTAGTCCCTTGGTTCTCCATCAACACTGCAGAACTCAGTGCTCTGTTTGTTCCCCCATTATCCAATGTATTTGGGGAACACCACTAGGCTTGTATACTTGCTGCCCCTAGGACACAAACTGGGGGCCTGCACAGGAAGTGGGAACTTGTTTGGTCCACAGACTACAAAGCTCTGTGCAGCCAGCAGTGGCTTTCAGTATACAAAGAAGTGAAGCTTCTAAGGTGAGAGCAGCACCAAAGTGGACAGCTAACCCTTGATGAGTCCTGTCCTCAAACCACATATAACACCAATCCATACACAAAGGATTATAAGAGACTCCAGTTAGTTTTCTTCTATCTGAAAGTGCTGAAGATTAGGCCTGATGCCCTGAGCACACAGTCAAAATTTTGGCTTCTAAGCTACCTACCAGTTTAGTGGTGAGAAACTACAATGCTGCTAGGAATATTTGTGTTCGATTTTTGTTTGAAAGCCTGTCTTCAGTTCTTTTGGGTATATGCCTAGGAGAAGAACTAGTGGGACATAGGTAATTTTAATTGCCAACTTCTTTTCCAAAGTGGTTGTACCATATTTAATTATAAAATCTTAAATATAAACAAATGAATTGTCATTATTTAGCAAATGATCTATCCCTTGTTTTCATTAATTTGAAAGTTTCTTACATATACATTGGCCTATCTCTGGGCTTTGTTCAGTCTCACTGATCTGTTTACTTTTGAGCTATTACTATACTTATTACTGTGGCTTTAGAGTATAGTTATAAATCATATATTACCAATTCTTTGTCATGTTTTATTTTCCAATAGAAATGATGGGAGAGATATACCAAGCCATGTCTCCCTTCTTTTTTTCACAAAATAATTTCATGGCACATTTGAAAGCTTCCCCTTCTTACTCACTGGTGACTTAGCCAGTAAATGGGGAAGACTGTATGGAATTGCTGATGAGTCAGGGTTATTCAGATAATAAGTATAGCTGGGGAGGTGTATATGTTAGGGAAAAGTGAATTAGTATGCATACTGTACTGAGATATTTGCTCCTTAGCATTGTACAGGAATTCCTTCTTTATTTCTTGACCTGAAAATACCTCCTTTCTCATTTTTTCTCTTTTATCTGCCTCTTTTTTTCAACCCCCACCATAATAGGCTGATACTAATGCACTAGAACCAGCTTATTTTTTAGCTGGCATGCTATTATAACATGGAAACTGACAAACACAATAAATTAGAGCCCTCCCTATTCCCTGAGAGGTAGTTGTTAAGCATATGCCAGCATACCACTGAACAGGTCTGTCATAAAGCTTTTCCAGTCTTTCTCCTATCTTACACTCGGTGGCATTTTATTCAAGGGTTCAAAATAAATGTTAGTAGTAGAATCAGTAAAGCTATTGGGAAAGGAAACTCAAAAACAACTTGTACATATCAATTCAATAACTTAAACTGAATTTGCTTCTATAAGGTGAGTATTTCAGAGATTACTGCCTATACTAAAAAACAATAATATATTACCTGAGCCATTGTGAATCTTGGTTACTGAGTCCAGATGTGTAAGGCTAAAGAGGGAAAAAACCAGTTAATGTTTGTAGCAAAGTATCACTGAAATCGAAAAACAAAATGGTCATGGCCTATAACAAAAATTACACCAAACCTTTGCCAATAGGATTAGATGAATATGTATGGTTTATGATCCAATTGCTGTTAACTTTTATATTGATTTTAGGGACACGATTTTATTCAAAAATTCCAAAAAATAACTCAAAAATAGTTTTTAAATTAATGACTCACTGAAGCCTTGATATAATATACACTGATTGTGTATACACAGTACTTTCACCAGGGCTACAAAGATGTTGCAGTTTACCCTGATTTCACAAACAAAAAAGAAAGTATGCTTTCCCTTGAAGGATTCAAAGTTTATCAGGGGGGAAAAATATTAAAGAGATTGTTATCACACAGTGTGAGGAACACAAAAGAGGCACAAAGTCTCTACCTGTGAATCCTCCTATATGCGTCCTGTTCTTCCTGGCACAGAATCTTGGGCAGCTCTACTGCTGATTCAAGGCACACTTTCCCAATGGTGACATGAGGAACAATATGGATTGGGATTTCAATTCTCTCATACCTGAAAAATAAGCAGTTTAGGCCAGTTTTTAATCTTAGTTATAATCAAAGTTCTCTATAGTTTTAATTGAAACTTTGGAATACGGAGTGCTTCAAAGATTAAACATTCCTATAATTCATTAAGTGGTTCAATTTCAAACTGGGTTCATCTGAGGAGAATCTTTAATCCATTCCTACAAATACAACAGAAGTCTTTGGGAGCTCCAAAGGCCCTTTATTCCCCACTATCTGGGTAAGGAAAATAGCTAACTAATATTGTTTTCAGTCAGGGAGTTGCCAGTGAATTGAACAAATTGATCACAAAGCCTGGGGAAGAAGAACTGTACTCTTCAATGACTCCATCGCTTCATTATGTAGATGGAATTATTCACATAAATGCTTACTTGTTCTAACTCAGTGTTTACCAGTAGCCCTCATGCTTCATTCTCTCCTGTGGGGAAAATAGGTAAGAAATTCATATATACTTGCAGTTTCATGCTAGAGCAAGAGAAAAAGATATGTTTGTTACTACTAAGGTCAACCAAACTATCTCTATAATCTTCACATCCCCAATATATCTAAACTCCATCAGTGTACCCAGTGAAGAATTCAGGTTGCAGGGCCTTGCACTATGAGGCCCCATTGGAACATGGTGGTAAAAGCAGAATAATATCTAGTTCCCTGCTCTCTCTTCCTACCCAGCAAAGTGTCTAGGCTCCAAACCACAACCTAGATGGAACACAAATGATGTGGAATTACAACCGCACCTTCCTCTCCCTCCACACACAGTACTCAGGGAAGAACATATGAATGAATATACCATGGCTGCTAGGTGAGTTGAATATTTTTTGAAGTAATACAGTGACCTATTATTGCTGATGGTTCTAGAAACATTGAAGAAGAGACCTCAGTCTCTTGCTATTAGTTCACTTAACAAGGTGTGAAACTTTGTTGGCGGTATCATGGGTAGAAATGGCTCCAACTGTGTACTGGGTTCAAACACACATCTTCCTAAATTTCTAGAGGAACCCTCTAGAGCTTCTGTCAGCTTACTGAAAACTACAATCTCAAGACTAAGTAGGTACAGATCTAAATCTTATGAAAGAGATTTTGCTTCTACTTAATGAACTAGATGGTTATGATTAGTCCTCCTTCTGAGAGCAACTAGAACTAGCTGGACCAAATAAAACAGCATCTGCTAGAAGTCACTGGAGAACTACAAGACAAGGAGTAATAATAGGGCCAACAATTTGGGAATAGAGAAAAATCTGGAAAGATGAGCCTGACGGGGACAGTTTTCTTGAAAGGGTAGGAAACTTATAGAATAAGAAGTTGAAAACAGTTTTCAAAAGGACTTACGGGTCCAGGGTGAAAAAAATCAGTAGAAGACCACAGATGACACATGAATTGGAATACTTTTGTAAGAACTCTGTAGACCAGTTGAAAAGTTATAACACTCAAACCAGTGTAATATAAAGAAGGGATTCCAGCAAAATGGTAGAAAATCTGGTACTTTGCCTGTGTACTTCCCTCCTCCTATCTGACCTATACAATGACCAGGATCCTAGAGTTGCTCACCTCATGGTGGCCAGGAAGGAAAGAGAAGGATAGACAAGAAGGGAACAGGGCAAGAATACCCTTCAAAGACACACCCCTAGTGACCTCCTTCCTCCAATCAGCCCCTACTTTTAGTTTTACCACTTCCTAATAGTGTATTCAAATTCTGAATCCACTAAGGAATTAATCCATTGACTAGGCCAGAATCTAATCACTTCCTAAAAGCCAATCAACTAGCAACGAAGCCCCCAATACAAGAGCTGTGGGGGAACATTTCAAACATATTCAAACCACAACACAAGATGAAAGTACAATACACAGTATTAACTGTAAATTAAATGTCACACAAGTAAAGATTAGTGAACTCAAAGATGGTGACAGAAACTACACAAAATAAATCACAGACAGAAAACAAAGACTGAAAAAAATGAACAGGGCACCACTGAATTGCGAGACAGTATCAAGTGGCCAAATACACATATAACTGGAATACACAAAGGAAAGGAGAAATATTTATAGAAATAATGCCTAAAACTTTTCTAAATTTGATATAACATAAAAATCCATAGGTCCAATAAGCTCAATGAAACTATAGGACATATGAAAATAAGTATACCATGGTATTCTATAATCAAATAGTCTATGGTTCTAAAAGCATAAAAGGCAATCTAGAGTTCTTTCCTCATTGAAAATATGTTTAGAAAAACAGTGAAGGACTGGGCAGGGGTGGAGGGGTACCTCAGAGATAGAGTGCTTGGCCTGGCATATACAAGGCTCTGGGTTCAACCCTCAGTATGAGCAGAGGGAGGAAGGTGAAGCAAAGACTTTTTTCAGACATACAAAATTAAAAGAACATATTACCAGCAGAGCTACACTACAAGAACTATCAAAAAGATGTCCTTTAATAAGAAATAATAACAGATAGAAAGAAATGAAGAAACTTTCTTATTTAAGTTCTCAAAATGATAGCTATTTAAGTAAAAGTAATAACATGTCTTTATAGCACACATACAAGTAAAATGTATAAGAACCCTAGCACAAAGGCAAGGGGGGGAAATGTAAGTATAATTCTGCAAAATTCTTATACTAAATGTGAACTACTATAACATCACCTGAAGGCAGACTGATATGTAAATGGTATGTTATAGCATGTATCATTTTACCTTGCAGGAAACCTTTAGCAATATATAGTGACCTTGCAATAAACCCTAAAGCAACCAGTAAACTAACATAAGAATTACAGCTAATAAGCCTACAAAGGAGATAAAATAGAATCATAAAAAAGTATTCAATTTAAAAGAAGGCAGAAGAAAAATGAACAAAAATCAGATTAGACAAATAGAAAACAAATAGCAACATGTTAAATATAAACCCAGCCACATCAATAATCATAAATTTAAAGCATCTCCGTATGCCAATTAAAAAACAGAGATTGTTGGACAGGATAATAAAAAGGCAGACTCAACTATATGTTAACTATGCCCACTTTAAATTTTAAAACCACAAATAGGACAAAAGTGAAAAGACACATCATGATAACAATACTCAAAGAAAAAAGTTGGTGTAGTTATCTTAATAGCAGACAAAGTCAACCTCAGACCAAAGAATATTAACTGGGACAAACAGGGTAATTTCATAGTGACAAAAAGGTTAAGTTATAAAAGAGACAAAACAGTCTTAAACATGAATACAGATGACAATAAAGCTTCAAAATATATCACACAAAAACTAACAGAACTATAAAGAGGAAACAATTCACAATCATAGTTGAAGATTTCAATACCCCTGTCAATAAGGACAAGTACACAAAAGTATCGGCAAGGATAAAATCTTGAACAACACTATAAAAATTTTGGCCTAATTGATATTTACAGCATATTCCATCAAATAGAATATCTAACCTTTTCAAATGTACACTGAAAATTCACCTGTACAGAATAGAGAACATTCTGAATATTTAAAAGATTCAAATCATATGAAGTATTTTTCTGAGTATAGTGTAATTAAATTAGAAATGAATAATTGAAGGATATCAGAAAAATCTCAAAGAATTTAGAAACTAAATAATATACTTCTAAATAACTTGTGGACCAATAAGGATGCTAAAAGGAAATCAGAAAATATTTTGAACTAAATAAAAATGAAAAAAATAAAGATCTGTGGGATACAACTAAATGAGCAGTTAGAAGGAAATTTATAGCACTTAACACATACAGGAATCAACTTCCACCTACCTTAAAAAACTAGGATAAAAATAAATGAACCTAAAGGTAAGTAGAAAGAGATCAAAGTGGAGATAACTATAATTAGAAAAGAAAAGAGAGAAAAGCAAGGTGATTCGAGATATTCAGTAAAATTGTTAAACCAATAGCTAGACTTATCAGAAAAAAATGACACAAACCATTGATATAGGGATGAAAGACAAAATTACCAATATAATGAGAGATTTAACATTACCATATTATTTACAGATAGTAAAAGAACAAGAAAATATTATTAACAATGTTATGTCAATAAATTCAATAATATACATGAAATGGATAAACTCCTTGAAAGACAAAATTACCAAATCTTGCTCAAGAAGAAATAGATCTGAGTATTGTTGTATCTATTTGATAAAACAAATTTGTAGTTAAAAAGTTTACCACAAAGAAGACTCCAGAACCTGAAGGCTTCAATGGTGAATTCTACCATAAATTTAAGGAAGAAATAGTATCAATTCTATACCAACTCTTTCATAAAATTGAAAAGGAGAAAATACTATCTAATTATTTGAAGCCAATATTTCTCTGATATCAAAGCCAGAGAAAGACTTTACAAGAAAACTACAAGTAGCCCTTATTATAGATGAAAAAATTCCTATTAAAATTTTAGCAAATCAAATCCAGCTATATAAAATAGATAAGTCATCATGATCAATGTGGTTTATTTCAGGAATATAAAGTTAGTCAAGCAACAAAAATCAATCAATATTAACAGACTAAAAAAATGAAAAAAAAAAACCTTTATGATCAGCTCAGTAGATAAATCATAAGCATTTGACAAAACACAACAGCTATTTTTTAGACACTGCTAGAGCATGCCAAGGGAATTTTTTGACAGTTATTTGTTTTCTGTATTTTAATTGGTTATATGACTAATATAAAATGTTTATAAAATAAATACTTTTTAAATATTCCATGGAGAAAATCTATTTTTGACAGGAAAAGGAACTCAGTAAACTAGGAATAGGAGGGAACTTCCTGAAACTGATAAAGGGACTGCATGAAAAGTCTTCAGATACACAATGGTGAAAGACTGAGTGATGTTTCCCAAACATTAAGAAAAAAGTTACCATGATTGCTCCAACTGTATCTAGCAATTTACTAGAAGTTTCTACAATAAGGCAAGAAAAATAAACAGAAAGCATCCAATCTGGTAGGAGGTAAAACTACTTTTATTCACAGATAATATGACCAT